ACACAACAAAGTCCAGTCGACAAAATGGAGGATAGACAGACGATCACAAGCTTGCTCGCAGCTAGATTTAGTTTTAGTAAGGTTTTTACGGCACTCGCAACTGCATAGGTGATATGAGCGACAAGGGGTGGATGTCAACAGAGAAGTCCAAGCTTCGACTATCAAGGCACCCCGGAAATAGTAGTTCACAAGTGTGACAAACATAGAAAAGAAGTAGAGGGAAATGACGATAGTAAAGAAGAGGACAGAAAAGGCAGCAGTTTCACCTACGCGGGTCCAGCACAGTATGAGCATGACATTGATAAATCAGCCCATTTACAATTCTACTGTGCATAAGAACATGTTAATATCCTCCCTTTGGGAATGGCCTAAAGACGTTTCAGTCAGTAGCACTGCCCTGGTGGAGGTGGGAGTAGATTTATACCTAATGTGTACACACACAGGGTGACTGCCAAACCGGCTTCTCCATTTTCCAGGGCCATGTTACACAACAACGTGCACACACACACACGCGTAATGACTTGAGTAAACCTATTCAGTGTGAGAGGTATAAGAACTGTGAGAGGGCAAGAGGCAGTGGCACTGAAAATCTGCCGGACTTGAACAGAAAGCTACAATATTGTTCTAATTTACTATCACCCAACAAATGAAACACAAACACTTTATTTCAATAACACGGCTTACAAGGTATGAAGGATCCCGATTCCACACAAGGCCTGCACCAACGCGCGCTTTGCAGAGGGCTCTAAATCCAATCAAAATTCAGAAATTTGCTTACAGTTTTTGTCCTCTGGTGTTGCCTTCATCCGCTCCCCCCCTCCCCCGAGTGTCTCTTTTAAAAAATCAATAATCCCTGCCCTACTCCGTAGTCCTATACTTCGCAACGCTCGACTTTTTAATGGACTTTGGCGACCCCAACAAACACCGGTGCCCACCGATGCCGTACCTTGTAGTGCCTCGCGCGAAGGTTCACTGACCTGCCACGCTGGCGAACCCGACAATCTAAAAATCGGACAAAACTTGTATTTTCTTTTCACACCCCCCCCCCCCCCACAAGTGACAGCACGGTGAAGAGTCCGAGTAATTATTAAATTTTGTTTGCACGGCGACACAGCGTTTATACTGTACAACCTGCATATTACAAATGTTGCGTTATCAGTTTATCTTCCCCAAATTTCAGGGTGGTAACGAAATCGAAAGTAGATCTTGATTTTCCCGATCGAGCCTCGGTGTCACGTACACTTCCACCTGCCGCCATAGCCGGCTTTTCGCGTGAACGAATAATTATATCACAATCGCGACCTGCAAAAACGGAGTCATGTACCGCGGCTAGGGTTCACTGAAAAGTCTTGCTGGCTTCATCACTCAGTATGCAGGCTAATTTACGACAGTTTACCAAATGTTTACTACCTTCAAGGCAAACTTACTACCATTTACGACCTTTACGACCAGGGCGCCGAATTTACGACTTTTTTACGTCTTTGTTGGACACCCTGCTAACAGAGGTGTCCTGCAACAGCTCACCATAATTTTGAGAGTTAACTACTTGGAGTAAATCATACCCCTTACTTAAATACAAGTAAATCACTTCATAAAGCTGTTTACTATTTAGTTTTATAGTAAGAGTTTTACAGCACTTGCAACATAATAAGTTCATATAAGTGCCAAAGATTAGAGGTGGAGAAAAAAGGATGACAGATGTTTGATAGGAAAGAAGGTGAAAAATACACCAAATCACCCACCAACCACCCATAAAGCTGTTTATCAGAAAAAACCCTACAAAGCAAGTGGCCAGGTGTGTATGGCATCTTAGGTCAATCCCACAAGTGCCACACTTTTTCTTTTCAAAAGGAAAAAAAAAAAGATCCAAAATAAGGGGAGATTTCTCAGCTGTGTTCTAACAGGTATTTTTTTTTCTTGACGACCTAATAACTCAGATTTAAAAATAAATAAATTTGAAGAACATCCTTGGAAAACACTTTTTTTTTGGTTTTCTTTTTGATTTAGTAAGAGTTTTATACATGGCACTTGCAACCCAATTAGGCACAAAAAGAAGGAGAAGAGATAAGGACGACGGCAGTTTTGACAGGAAAGAAGGAGCAAACCACACCAGAGCACCTGCCAACCACCCGCTTCGTGTATTCTGCTTGTCACATGGGTCAGCGGCACTTACATTTGGACTGGTGGAAGTTCCCACGACATCAATGGTGTCCATGAGAAGCTTCCTTTTGGTGGACGAGCTGACAGTGCTGTCCTGACTTGTGTCTCCGATGATGTCCTCCACCGTGGGGCTGTCCAGGGTGCTACTTTTCGGGGTGGTCGCTGGCAACAGTGAGCTGGACACAGACCCACCACTCTGCAGAGAAAGAGAAAATAGGAACGTGTGTTACACGATAAGATGAATAATTGTCCTGGCCAACATTAGCAAATGAGTATTAGCATGATTTAAGTGTGAAGGGGAAAGATCAGGATAATGTAGCTTTTCTGAGAGCATCCGAGCTAAGGAATTAATGGAGAATTATGACTGCCGAAGTCTGCCCCAGATCTAGTGCTTGATGATGATGACTTGTACGTGGGGCATACCAAAAGTTTTTGACCTGACCATGAAGGAATAAAGGTAGAAAGCTGAAATTTGGTACTAAGCTTAGTCTTTCTCTATGTAGTCGCCTCCCAGAGTTATACATGTTTGCCACCTGTGTATGGCCTTGAAAAGACCTTGAGAATAGAGGACCTCTCTATGTCAGAAACCCAGCCCTCTTCCGCTTCTTTGACCTCATCATCACTTTTTTTACATCAAAATTTTATAATACATCTCCGTAAAAATATCCTGTGGTTGCTGGGCTATAAAGGTTGAGGGTGAAACCTCACACGCTCTCTGGCAAGCCAGCCTCAACCAAGTCAACTCCCCGTCCCTGTCGAGCAGCCTGGGGACCCCTGCTCTGTGCACTGTGTATAAATATGGTGGGAGAGGGTGAATTTTGATCAATTTTTGACAACCTCCAAAAAAGCACAGACTCCAGTGCTTGTGTTTTCTAAAATATCCCAGATTCAAGTGAGTTAAGCTAACTCTTCAGGGTCTACTTTCAATTTGATCGTATCCAATATGTCAGTAAAGATGGATTTGAGAACCAGAACAATTTTAAATCTCTAACATTTTAAGGATTCACATCCATCCAAAATGTGCCAAGTTATATGCCTGGAAGCAACTATTAATGCTCCATAACACCAGCTATTATATAATACTTATTTAATTTCCTCAATCAATTACTGTCTAGTCTAAAAAAAGATGTTCTGATATTTCACAGACCTTATTAGACCCCAGCTGGTCATGTCTGTGCTTCAGGGTCTGCAGTTCGTATTCACACGTGGACATTGCCAACTTCAGCTCATACAGTAACACAATGTCTTGCCGCAGGGAGTTGAAGCCACTCACGATCTCTTCTGTCGGCATGGGATTGAACTCTGAAATGAAACAAATACAAAAATGCTCTGGAACTCTGACACTCCTTTTCTTTTCAGGAAAGCATAGCAATGGGAAGTGCAGCATATTAGCGAATATGAATCTAGAATCTTGAGCGATGTTTAAATCATAAAAAGCACTGACATGTCGCAACTAAAACTCCCATCAGGCAGGAGGTATTAGAGTAGAAGTGCATATGGCACCAGTATGAAAATCAGCTTGCCACAATTATCGAAACGAGAAAAAGACTAAAAATCACAATTGATAATTACCAAGTCCAAGTTCCTCCAATACTTGCTCAATTGCCTTTGATTTCTTCTGCCCAACTGTTGCTGGCAATTTCATCTGAAAATGTTTTTTACACAGGAAATTAATTTCCAAGGAAATAAACACAGCAGTAATTTAAATATTGTTTTTCTTCAGTAAATCTGATCCTGATAAGGATAACAGGTTTCTGAAGAAAAAGAAAGACTTACTTTTGAGAACATGAACTGCCAGGTGAGGTAGAAATGTGCTGTCAATACAATAGCAGCATAAAACATCTTATATTTGTGAAATGTTCAAGTTTATTTCAACTACAGATATGTTCCTTTATGATAAGGAAACCAAGACTCAGTACTTCACTATTTCACTAACATTACATTATTGACTGTTGAGTCCTCTGTGATAACTTAAAAATTATTGACTCAACTCTGGCAAAATGAACATCGAAGCATAATAACATACATTTGCTACAATAGTGAAGAGGGCAGTTCCAGCAGCCAATACAGAATAGACAAAGGAGAAGAAAAAGACCAGCAATGCAATTCCAGCAGATACAGACAATGTTTGGGATCCAGATCGATCTCAAAGCACTTTCTTAATTGAAAACTGAGTTCGTTCTATAGGCTCATGAGCCTCTTAAAGTAGAACACATTATTTAATTAAACTTAAAGATATAATATGAGTAATAATTTGCAGGAACTAGGCCAAACAACTGGATCACCCAAAAAGTTCCACAAAAGCTTACTCTTTGACTGCGTAAACTTGTTCCTGATGCCTTGAAATCTGCAAATTTGATTCCACCTGGCTCTGGAGTCATCTGAAATGACAACAAAGAAGGGTCCATGTATGGAAACTTCAACACAGACTGAACAAATAGTGTTTGAATTTTCTGGCTTCAAAGTTATGCACCACCTTCTCAATAAAAGAGATGAAAAATGAACAAATCAACCACCATCATCGTGACTTAAATCCTAAATGTCAGCATGACTTTGTATAAGTCAATAAAAAAGAACAATGCTAAACAAAGGGTATTAAAACAAGACAAGTTTCTTAAAATGGAATAAAGAAACATGTTATATTTTACAACTTTCAAAGGCACAGGACAGCAATGCAAGGGATTAAAGTACTGAAAGACAAGACATGAACTAGCCGAAAGGATAAGCACACCCAACCCTTAGTCTCACTTGTTTTTAATTTTAGTAGTTTTTACGGCGCTTCCAACTGCAGAAGGTCATATGAGTGCCAAGGGGTGGATGTCAACAGAGAAGTCCATACAGGGAATCAGGCTTACTCTGCTCACCTCTCTAGCTTCAACAGCACAAAGCCTGCTTTGACTATCAAGGTACCCCGGAACAGGGGGTCAAAAGAGTGTGACAAACATTTAAAAAAGTAGAGGAAAAATGACGATAGCAAGTATTAAGAACGAAAAGGCGGCAGTTCCCCGTTGCAGTTCAGGCAGTTATGAGCATGACATTGATGAATCAGCGCATTTACAATTCTACTGTCCATAAGAACATGTTAATGACTCCCCCCCCCCCCGGGAATGGCCAAAAAAACACTTCAGTCAGTGGCACCGACCTGGCGGTAGTCTCACTTGAAAAAGGTGTTAAACCTAAACATCTTTCTACTATATTTGCGATTTGTGAAATTGTACATCCACTAAAAATAAATCCTAGATTTTCAGACTTAAAACAGTTTCATTCACTGCAACAAATCTTACGCTTAACTTTTGTCAACCCTCTGACTCTGCAACTGCAAATAAATTCATTATCCCCCCCTCCCAACTGAGTTCATTTACCTGGTTCAGAAGCACTGACAGAGATGGAAAATAGAAAATACGTGAGCATTCTGTTGTTGTATCCTACTTGTTTCCGCTGGTCCTATTTTATTTACCGTATCTGCACCTGCCAATATGTGGCCATTACTAAGACTTGCTAAAATCTTTGACTCAATGACATTAGACGTGAATGTGAACTCACCCCACCATCTTTCAGCTTCAGCTCTCGTGCCTGGATTTTTTTCTTTGTGTTTTTCCGTTCTGCTTTCCTGTTGTCTGCATTGCTATCTGCTGCAGTGATGAGCTTCTGCAGATCTTGCTGTTTCTTCTCTCGTTCCTTCTTGTGCAGTTCAATCTTTTTCAATTCCCCTATCAAGAAATCTTCTTCCTCCACCTGGTGAATGAGGGAAAAAAAAATTTTGATAAGCAACCAAGAGATTTTGCTTTTCATATTACCACCACAGTAAATTATCAAATGACTTACAAATTGAGGGAAAAAATCTTGGAACATTCCTTCCAACCAGAGAACAAAGTTATTATTCAAACAATAATTTGTCATAAGAACAAACAAGCAACATTTTCTGACATGTTCAGGGCTGCAAAAAAGGCTAATGGTCATGAACCCAAGGAGGGCAATATGACAAAATTGATAGGAAAAATAGCTTCTCCAGGAATTAATTTTCATATATTTTAGCCCATTACGATCAGACTAAACATTGTGAGCCAAAAGACCACAGTGTCTTTTTTTCAGGAGGCAAATGTGATCCAGACAATAGTGGTTATCGCACATTACTCACCTTTATACCCCATGACATTACTGAACAATATACCTAATTTGTTCCTCAGGCTAAATAACAGGTTCTAAATATTACAGTCCATGCCGGCTTTAAGCACTGTCATCGGGAGAAAGCATAAGTGTGCTTAAATCCGAAGCGTGCTTGAGTGCGAAGTAGACATAATCCAGAGATTTTCAGGTAGAAAATTTCCCGTGCTATTTCCCTTTGTTTGTAAGTAGGCCTATAGCGGTCCCGCAAAAGTGTGCACTGGTATTTTTACCCGCCATGGTAGTTTTTGTTTGCTTGTTTGTTTTTGTTTTGTGGTCGAGTGGGAAATGAAAACTCAATTTAGACGGCCAGTCACGATACAGCACACTAGGCCTACACGCTGCCTGTGCGTACCACTGCCCGCTGTGCCACATTCATACCACCGCCTTCATCCCACCTTGCGCGTGATACACAATCAGAATTAATGGATAGCGAAGGTCAAAGGTGAAATCGCAGCCAGCCTCCCTTTCTCGTCTCCCCGACTCTGTATTTTTAAGTCTGTGTGTAACTTTGCCCTAGGCTAGATCCTATGTCCACGCACACGGCTGTGTGCATCTCTCTGCCTTCCTCTCCGCCCGTGTGAGTGTGTGTGTCTCCATCACTGGCATCACTTGCGTTCTCTGTGTTTCTCTTAACACACTCCACTGCTGCAGTGTAGACCGTGTTCGAACTTCGATGGGTCATCGTGAAAGTATTGACTGTCTTGTTGTAATGAAGCGTGCCTAAAGCCGAAGTTACCGTGCTTAAAGGCGTGTAATTTTTAGAGCAAAAATTTGGTAAGAGCCGTTTAGTGTGCTTAAGTCCGAAACGTGCTTTAAGCCGGCACGGACAGTAATAACTTTTAAGAAAAAAATAATTTATATATTATCTATCTATGTCAGTCGTAGTGAAAGCTTTAATGCTTTCAAAAAGAATGTTTTCAATGCCAACACAAATTTAATCAAAATAATCTGTTCTACTCCACTAGGCTGTATGTTCATATGTTAATAACTGAATGTTCTGCACTACATGTATATAAAGAAAACAGATTCTTCTATCCTATCAACAAACTATTGTTCTCGTACACAATGAATGAAATCTATTTTATCAACAAAAGAAAGTTCTCTTAACTTACAAAAAACTTGCAAAGTATGGAAGAAAGAAAGTTTTCTCCAACATTAATAGAGAAGGGTGAAAAATGCTTACCTGTTCCTGAGTTCGGTCAAACAGTTTGGTGAGCTGCAGTTTTCTCCTCCTCTCATGCTCAGCATCAAATGCCTTCACTTTAGGCTCAGTGCCCTGAGGGGCTCTCACCTGTAAGGAGCATACACATGTGAAAACACATCTACAGATCATCCACAACCCCCCCCAACAAATAAATAAATAAATATAACAAAAAATGAAAAATTGTCATAGTCTCCTCAACTATCCCTTTGCTAAGCAATTCTGAAATGGAAGTACCTCAGATCTTTTAAGAAAAAGTTGATAAACCAACAATCAAAAGAAGTATATTTCAACAGATTAAAGGGGAAAAAGGGTGACTTTTGAAAAAAAAAAAAAATTACAAATATAGAAATGATAATAATTTGACACAACATTCATGACAGCACCAAAAGCAAAACTTAACAATCAATAAAGTCTGCGCATCAAAACACTTTAAAACATAACAAACCATATCATTACCTTTGAAAGAATATTGCAAACATTGTAATATCTCTCCTTGAGGTCTTCAACACTGTGATCCCTGTACTTGTCTCTGTCCCAGCGATCGTGGACAATTATAAAACGCACATCAAACCTCTTGCACAGGTCAAACATATGGTCTGTTTCCTGTCTGGTCCAGTTCTCATCATGCAAATGTTGCTGGTATTCCAGATCTGAGAAGACTGGCACATCCACTGTCTGAAGAACAAGGTCTGACATGACACACATGACACTTACAAGTTTTATCTTAAATAGAGAATGTATTACAAGTAGCACAGTACTCTGCAGACTGTGATATCACACAGAAAGCTAGAACTTAAAGAAAAAAAATTAACATCTTTCATAATCAGCATGACAGCGTTTCCAATGGAATTACAAAAATGAATCAATTCTGTGAACTAATTTTTTTTTACCAAGAAAAGAAAAACAAATTTTTAAAGAAGCAATAAGAGCTGTGTTTGTTTTTTACAGTCAGCCCACATAATAATAGCTAAATTTAGAGCTAAAAATATGTAACTCCTATTTGTACCTTATTAAACCTGGCAAAAGGGTAGTCTTTGCCCTCGTCAGCAACTCGTCCCCAGTGGTAAAACACAGCTCCATCCTACAGACACACAGAACAACAACCAAATTGCAAACAGACTTACGATAATCGTGACGAAAGATAAAACAAGTCCACCAAAACATGACAAACCAAACGCTCAATAACCAATTTCTTTGGAAAAAACAAAAACCAAACCAAAAAAAATGTACAGATTTACATGGTCATGAACAAACCAAACAAATGGCATATCTTGTTACATGCTTTGAGACATGGAAGCGCAATATAAAATATACCTATTACACAAGACCCTCTTTAGATCTTTAGATGCATATATTCCTGTCTTGTTTAGTTTAGTTTGAGTAAATTTTGATTTTTAATTTTAGTAGAGGTTTTACAGCGCTCGCAACTGCATAAGGTAATATGAGAGCCAGGAGATTAGAGGTGTTACAAGAGAGTAACAAACATAAAAGAGAAGAATGGGGGATAAGGACGAAAGAGGTTTGATAGGAAAGAAGAAGCAAACCATACCAGAGCACCTGCCAACCACCTACTAGTGGATTTTACGGTACTTGCAACACAATAAGGTCACATCATTTGAGGTGTTACAAGAGAGGAGCAAACAGAAAAAAGAAGGAGGAGAAATAGGAAATAGATGTTTGATAGGAAAAAAGGAGCGAACCACATCAGAGCACCCGACAACTACACACTTCCTGTCTGAATCAACATGTAATTTAAATCATATGAGAAAGAGGCAGAACTAAACTCATTAGAAAAATATGCCAGCAATTTCACAACAACAGCAAGGAACAATTAATGAAGCTGTAAAGAGAGGCAGTAAGTTGAAATAGGAATGCAAAAAGTATGAGAGGATTTTCATTTAACCCTATCCGTACATCGTGTTTTACTATCGTATCCATACCATGTGAGGAACTCTGTGCCATCGCTTTCCAAATAGGAAATTTACTCATTAATCCGATCCGTAGGCTTTGCATAGCAGCAGTCTGTCAAAATGATTTTTTATAAAATACTGAAAGTTTCAAAGGGATCTTCGTACTAGAAGTATTCTAAAATGTGAAGAACACAATCCTGGGGGTACAAAATGACCCCAGGGTGTACGGAGAGGGTTAAAAACAACTATTAAAGAAAAGGATACAATGCTCTACACAACACAAAAACCTGCATGAAAAAGTAAACTTAGAGGATGGAAGTGCATCAAAACAACAAACTTTTCTGGCTGGATTTGTGAAAGGCATCCATTTCCAAGGCCTAACTTTACTGCTGCCAATGCGAGCTTTCATCTGTTTGTAGCCTTGTTTAGAGTCTGATGGGATGATTGGTGGGGCATCTCTGCATGAAAGGGAACAACGTAAAGAAACAAGTCAGTTTCAAAGTTAATGTAAATTTATACAACACAAAATGATTCTTTTGCAAGCTTAGGAATTTTCTTATGCACTACTGACAACTTGAACCTGAAAAGTTAACTTTTTAGTAGTGAAAGGATTTTACAATTGCACTATAAGTATCTGTTGCAGATACCTTCAACTTACCATGAATAATTTTGACAGAGGCATCGCCACAATTATTTGTCTCAATGACTGTGTTCTTCAAATTGGGGACAGCCTTTGCTAACACAATGATCACTAGATAAAAGTTGGCTGTAGAATCAGTTTTGTTCAGTTACCAGACTGTTTGTGTTACTGATGCTGCAACAGCATTTAATATAAGACAGGTAGCTCTGACATACGTTTGGTAGCGAGAGTCATTGTGTAGCAGTCCCCACAGCTCGCGGTGCATTCCCTCCGGACGCTTTGTGGCTGCATCAGGTTTCTTCACTTTTTTCTGAAAAAAAAATAAAAAAATAAAAACATTCAATGCTATTAAGGAAAGGAGTCAAAGCTAACTGCATTAAGTTAAGAACCAAGAGCCCTCACTGTTTAAAATATAGAGATAAAAGAATGAAGCTGGTAGCTCAACAGCTAGGCTTCAGGAAATGAAATGTAATATAAGTTGAGGGAAGAAAACTCATTCTGGGCCCAAAGACAGATGCATCTTTGGGAAAGGCATTTAACTCGAAGAGTTAAAAAATCTTGTCAACATGTTAAAGTTTGAGTACCTGTAAAACCAAAGCTTGTCAGAAAGTAAAGAAAGTTTCAGAATGTCTTAAGGTCTGTCAGTGAATCAACAGCAAGGTAGGGAAACACATGTGTCTGGTCACAACCCGGTGGAATCAGGAGCTCATCAATTTTTGGGAATAATATATATGGAGTGACCGATATCGTCTTAAAGTCTGTTCATTTGCCTTGCTTTTTTAAAGAAAGAATACTCATGTATCTTGAATAGGAGTCGAGATATTTGCAATTGAAGGAGGCGGGCTTCGACCGATGTCTGAAATAAAGTTAGCGAGAAAATAGCCGCCTAATTTTTGTGAATTCCTAAGCTGTAGTGTCCTTGGAAACTGCAAATTTATTTGTTTTGCCTTTGATCAACATTTTTCAGTAAAATCCACAAATGAAAGTGTTTTTTTTATGGACATAAAAGGTGTTAAGGCAATAACAAAGAATTTTCAAGATGAAAATTGCACAAAAGGCGAGAAAGTAGGCCTACCAATTTCTTTCATTTCACAATTTTGATGAGCGCTCGATTTCACCATGATACCAATACCACATATATATAGTATATAAACGCAATTTATTTATGAAAATTAATGTATTTATATTGATGGAAAAAGAATGTAAAAAAATAAATGAACAGCCTCATAATAATAATTTAATAATTAAATAATTAGTTGCCAAAATGTAAGTGATCTATGGAGCTTAATCAGAAGGAAACATCAAAATTAAGTAAAAAAATAAAAACTTGCCTTCTTTCCATCATTCATGAGAGATTCTTTCGTGACATATTCACTGGCTCCCTGACCAGAGTCCAGCTCCAGGATATCTCTCACATCAATACTCGTTGCCATTGTCGTCAGAGTACTTCAGCAAGACGAGCTGCAAAATCATTAAAGTAAAAGAGTACAACTTTTAATTAAAAAAGTGCTACTAGAAAAATACAAAGAAATGACTTTGGGCGTTTAGGAAACATAATCTAATTCAGTTGGGTTTCGCAGCTCCTCTGAATAAGGAGTAATGGAGAGTCAGAAAATTAAAATTACTCTGTCATTTGGGAAGATCTATCTTTGAACTTTTAGACTCACTACAGAGACTAATCCTCTCAGTCCTCTGTCTTTGATAAAAACTCGACTGTCGCTGCAGATATTGGGAAAAAACGTTTTTCAAAGAATGATGCAATTTCTCCAGCAGTAGGCTATGTATTGATTCAACATATTACATCATTTTAAATTTGATGTTCCTGGGGAAGATTATGGGCTACCCCTGCCCTGGCCCTTGGTCGCATTTTCAATCACAGTCATCACGACCGTGCCACCGTGCCCTTTGACTTTGACCCACGACCCTGGCACCTTGAGGCTAATTGGTCAATCTAATCATGTGGTCCACTATTCTTATTTGCTCGCGACTCTGCTGGCTTGGCCTACTCCTGGTCCGGCAAAGTACAATGGAGGGCTAGAGATGCGCACGAGAGCTCATTTGCATAATTCTGGCCCCGCGGAAAATTGCATTTTTGAAATAGAAAAATTGCAAGGTAAACTGCCTAAAAATTGCAACTTTCCCATCCCAGGCGCATTAATATGGGCTTAACATTTCTAGTTTAAAAAACATGACAATTTTGAGTACCGGTAGCATAAAAGCAGCACCGCCTTTAAAAAAATCATGACCCACAATACAAATTCATCTTATGTTATTAACAACATTTACTATAGTAACAACACACGAGTACGTTAACAATAAAGTTATCGACCAAATATAATATGAAAACGCGTGACACAAAATAATGGAACCCTCGGTTTTCGTAATAGTTTTTAAATGAAGGCATAAAATTTGACCAAATTTAGTACATACCGGGTACTTGGTTCATGCAAAAATCTAGAAGTGTATGAGGTTTAGTCTATAAAAAAACAAAAAATTGACAAGGATTTTCGAAACAACCTCTAAATACAAAATAAGCTTTTATGCTCCAATCAAATCAGATCCTGATCTATTTTTTTCTTGAAACCTTCGATACACCGGTAATCTGTATTTAGATCTATTTCAGATATTTTCTGTTTTAAAACCAGCATGGTATTGTTTTAACACTAAGTCAAATCAGAAAATACAGCAAATTTGCCCATTTATAAACAATAGTAATACATGTACTAAAGTAGATCTAGACCATTTCTATAGCACCCACTCCCGTGTGAACGCAGCTTAAGGCGTTTTACATAACGAGGTGTTTACGTACACATGGTACGCGGACACCTAGCCTCAGTGTCTACGTACACGGTAACCGGCAACCGGGCAGTTAAGAATTCCAAGTTCAGTTTTTGTCATCCGGTGTTGCCTTCAACTCCAGCCCTCCCCCGACTGTACCTTTAAAAAAAAATCAATACTTCCCCCATTCCGGAGCTCTATACTTCGTAGCGCACAGACTTTGAATGAAAACTTTGGTGACCCCAACCGGTACTCACAATGTGATGCGAAAGCACAGGTTCACTGACCAGTAACGATGGCGAGCCCGACAAGACGCGTGTATAACTTTCTTTTTTTATTTCAACAAGTTGCAGAACAGGACAAATATTGGTTTGTTTTCATTCCGGTTACCGTGTACGTAGATACTGAGATTAGGTGTCCGGTTACCGTGTATGTAGACACATACATCGTGTACAAACAATATTCACGCGCGCGCGCACACACGCACAAACACTCATGTACACCTCACACACCTACTTTCTTATCACACGCGCACGCTTATACACATTAGATAAAGGCCTAGCCCAGAGAAGGCCACCTTCTCGGCCTAGCCTATGTCTCAATTTGTGTTACACATGATGCATTCCGGCCTGAATTTCCGGTTATAGCTTTTAGAGTACGCTCAGTAGGCTTGAGCTGGGCCGATACCATGATTTACGTAGGCCTATCGGCTCTGTACTCGCACCATTTTGTATTTAAAATTGTTAAAATTAAAGCGTTGATGTATTTTTGTCTAAAATTGCAAGAAATTGCGGGTTTGTTGCGGAACTCGACCAAAAACGCGGCCACAAGACCGCGATTTCCTGGGGGGCCAGATAATTGAAACCCCTTCACCCCTGCTAGCGACTTGGCGAGTATCTACCCCGATTTTCCGCTCATGTACTGTGTGTGTCTTTAAATTATTGTTGCCAGGCCCTGAAACCCCCTCCCCCTTCCCCCCACTGTTGTTACATTGATATGTAAACACAACTGTCCGCTCATGCTAGTGTTTTGCAATTGTGTGTTTTCTTTAATATTTCCAGGGGGGCAAGCCCCCCTGAACATCCCCCTCCCCACTGTTGGTATGATACACGGTGGTCAACCAAAGTTAAATCCCCTGCTCACCCTCATCCACCACCTTTCGCTCACCTCGCCTCGCCAGTCGTCGCTGGCTTTCGCTGTGCGTGCGCGAAGTCGCCCGCGGAACTACCTTTTGTACTATAAGTGCGTAGTTAGGCTAGGCGTGCGTAGTAATCGCAGGCCGAGACCGGTGGTCCGGTAAGGTACAATCCAGCCAAAATAAAAGATAAGGTCATCCCCTGTTTTCTCCCAAATCGACAATAATCGCCTCCGAAGTGACTATTCGGACTCAAGTCCGAATATGAAAAAATGTTATTCGGACTCTGATTCTTGTCCAGCATGACATCACTTCCGACTTCCTGTGAATCGTGACTCCGGCTTCCTGTCCTGCCTCACTCGTGACTCACCTCAGGCTGGGTAGAGACTGGGATCACTTCGGGCAAAATGGCGTTTTGTGCAGGAGCCGAGTTTTTATCTTATGATGAATTTGAGGCCGGCCTGAAAAGTTATATATCTAGCGCTTCTAATAAATGTTTATTTGTCAAGAGGTCACCAGAAACAATTAAAGATGGCTCGTTAGCATGTGTCGGGGTCGGATGGGCGGCCTGCACACGTGTGGCTGTGTGTGCGTGTCGGGGAGGGGGGGGTGCACTATCGGTCCGGGTGAGAATAGCCAAAAGACTCGCCTGCGCTATTCTCACCCCGGGTGAGAATAGAGGTGGCCTTACCTTAAGGGATGAGAATAGTGCAGGCGAGTCTTTTGGCTATTCTCTGGGGTGAGAGGTAGATCGTTTTTCTATTCTCACCCCGGATGAGAATAGCCACTTCCTTACCCTAAACTGTCTACTCAGCTACAAAATCACTCAATTTTTCGCCAAACAAAGGGGGGGGGGGGGGTGGGAACTACCGAAAAAAAGCCTTTAAGGTCGTGTTTGACTTGGACTTGGTCTGGGAAAGAATGGGCATCCGAGTCCCATTCAATGATTCCATATAATCTAGACACTCCATGACTCTGTCTAATTTTTAAGTCTAAAGTAGATCTACAATCTAGACTATCTAGATCTAGATCTAGAATCTAGATCTAGTCTTATTCGATTCAATATTCACATAATGATCATGACAAATTCAAAGTCAAAGATGTACAATAATATTCGGAACCAGACAGTAAGTGCACTTTCTTTGACAGAGAATGTTCGACTCACACTTTTCTTGGGAGCCCAAAGGCAAAGAGCCAAATTATATATCAACAATCAACAAACGCTAAATTCACCGGAAATGCTCTGCCTGCGCCGGGCAGTTCCATGTTTTATAAATATTATTTTTGATTTTAAAAAACTACACATCTAAAAGAGGTATGTTTTTATTTTGTTTGAAAATCTAAAAGTGTTGAGATTCGAGCAAAAAGTAATTCATTAGGACAAAAAAATTCAGGTAGAAGTGCGCTGAGTTCATGCTTAACCTATGATGTGTCCTGATTTGATTCTAATCGAAAATATTTATTAGAAAAAGCGGAACAAAATATGGGATTTTATAGCTCGACTCGACAATAGTGATGGGCCGATACCACAAATAAGGTATCGATTCAATACCTAGTATTTGTTCAAGGTATCGATACCAATATCCCGATACCTAATGCTATTAATAACATACGGCCCGGGGTAATTATAAGTAAAGTTGTTCCCGCATCTGATCCACATCCTCAACATTTCCACCATGACAAGACTTTCTCAAAGAACTGGTGAACAGGACTCCAATATAGATCTTGCCCTGATCAAAAACAGGTGGCGAAGCTTTTACGCAATGGAGTGTACAGGCAGATCACGGTAGCGACCACCTACCATGCTCAGTTCTTATATCAAAGGGTGGAAAGACAGTGAGACAAAAGGTCAAGAGTGTGTTTAAGTACAAACCAGACACCTCGGTCTTGGGAGGCCAGAGAAAGAAGGCCTGGAACAGAAAACCCTCAAGATCTAACGTTACGCAGCCACCATGGTGGAGCAATGAAATCGATTGCCTGTGGAAAGAGAAGAGGAATGCTGTTAAGGACTGGCAAAGAAAGAGGAAGAACCCCATTGTCACTGAGGAAGAAATGGAGGCTGCTAGAGAGAAGATGAGGCAAGCCCGGGATATGTTCAAAGCTGAAGCACATCTGGCCAAAACAGCAAAGTGGGAAGAGTTTGTAAAAAACATTGCAGCTGAGGAGGCACTCTCAACGTTCTGGAAACTGCAAAAAAAGATGTGTGGACAGGGTCACTCAAAAACCACTGTGAATGTGAAGGACGGGTCAGGAAATACATGTACACTCCAAACTGATGAGGAGAAAGGTAGGGCTTTCTTGGACCGATTCATCCATCAAACACACCAGGGAAATATTGACTCAAGAAAGGAAGTTGAAAGAGATGTTTCTAGAGTGCTGACACCAGAAATGTATGCAAACTACGAGGATGTGATATCTACAGAAGAGGTTTCCAGAACGATATAACATGCCAAGGACAGTACTGTGCTGGAGGGCCGGATGGTGTAAGATATTGCCACATGAAAGAGGCAGATGATGAGATGATTGAAGGAATAACAAAATACTTCAACAAAAGCATTGGCACTGGTGAAATCCCTGAAGAATGGTTGCACAGCTGGTTGATACCAATCCCCAAACCAGGAAAAGACCACTCGGCTCTCAGTGGTTACAGGATGATAGCCATGCAGAACACCTATGGGAAAATTCTGGAAAAGATAGTTGCCGGACGAATATCGGCACACTTAGAGAGGAAGTCCCTGTTGCCAAATGAGCTTGGCAGCTATAGACCCCATCGAGAAACCTCAGTGAATGCGGCTGTCATGGCATCTATGAAGGCTTTCAGCAGCGGAAGGAAACTGTTGTGACGGCACTTGACCTTGAGGATGCTTACAACCGAGTCAGCTATAAACGTTTGATCGACCGTCTCCTGGAATTTGATGTAGACATATGGCTGGTGAGATGGGTAGCAGTAGCCCTGGTGGAGAGAAAAATGGCCCTGAGACAGGGTGAATGGACTTCATATCCGGTATCAATTGCTCCAGGACTGCCTCAAGGATCCCCCTCTCTCCTGTGCTTTTCAATGTGTACACTGCACAGGTAACGATGCAACAGAAAGAATCTGGACGTGTCCTGAGCTTTGCGGATGATATAATGACATACGAGCACGGAGATGACAGACTTCATATGGCAAGGAACATGGAGAAAAGACTTCACTCAGTCGTAAAATGGTGCAACCCAAATGAAGCAGTCATCAATCCTTCAAAGGCGCAGGTACTTTGGTGTTCCCTCAACAACAGGATTGTCCAACTCCACCAATCACTTGCAACTATGAGATTATCGACAGACAGTCAGAGCTGAAGTATCTGGGAATCGTCTTCGACAGGTCGTTGTCCTTCAACAAGCATGTGAATCATGTGGTAACAAAGGCCAAACGAGGTGTTGGTGCAATCAAGACCACGGCGGCCGCTCTGATTCCGCAAAGAGTGCTCTTCCTGATGTTGCAGCTGGTCGTCCTGTCTGTCATTGATTACAGATTGGGATGTCTCACGCTGTCCGACACAGAGATCGCAAAGCTGGATCGAGTGCAGAATGAGGCAATGAGAGCAGTGCTGGGCTGCACCAAAGACACTCCAATATTGTGCATGCGCTACTTGCTAGGTTTAAGTGGCATCAGAGTACGCCATAGGATAGCTCAGGCAAAGATGTATCTCAGTGTAATGGGCAAGAAGGATCATCCACTTCACAAAGCACTTCATGACAACAGGAGAGTCAGAATCAAGAGAGGAAAATCTTGGATGGCGGAAGCAGAGGATTCCCTGAGAACAATCTGTGTACCTGAGAGCCTACCACTAGGCGAAGAATGGGAGCAGGTGGCCGGAGAATACAGGGACCTCACCAAGGTCAAAATAAGCATGGGCCGAGACAGAAGAAATGTTGCGGCTGCCATCAACGAGAGCGATATCAACGAGATTGTTGACACAAACTCAAAAGCAGGGGATCCTATAATTTATACAGATGGTTTAGTGAAAAGAGATAGCCAGAGAAGTGGATGGGGATTTGTTGCATTCGCCAACAATAAAATCATACACAGTGCATCTGGAGCCTGCAGCAGGACTACATCAAGTATGCGAATGGAAATTGAAGCCATCACGAAAGCACTTGATTGGATGACCCAAGATCGCCCCCACACAACCCATGCTGTTCTTATCACTGATTCCATGTGTACCCTCAGAAGGATCGAAAAAGGTTCCCTGAGAACGGAACGGATTCAAGCTATCGAACCAACGCCTATACGATCGCTCACATGGATTTTCTGCCCTGGCCATGCAGGTGTTAGGGGAAATGAAAAAGCCGACAGATTGGCTGGTGAGGCCACCTTAGTTGACAATACGGTTCAACCAGATAGGGTCGAGATCCTGAAATGTCTTTCTCGCCAACTGATTGGGGAGGAAGATAGGGAGGCAGAGGCCAGTACTGCCGTGGAGAGGGTGATGCTTTTGGGAATAAAAAAAGGAAGCGGAAAATCTGGCATCCTTGCAGGAAAGAACAGAAGAACGTTCGTCCAGATGTGCACTGGCACAATCAGTAGAAGGACCCTTTGGAGAGAGCAACGGAGCATCAATGGACATGTCCGGAGTGCAGGGATGTTGCTTCCTGAAACAAGAACAAGAACAAGAAGATCCGAACATTGGGGATTGCCTTGTTAGTGAGACAACTTCCTAGGCCTTCGGCATATTGTGGTAGGGTGGCAAGTTCCTTTCCACGCCACCTTTATTTCCCCAACTCGAAGTCAGGTACCCATTACTGTTGGGTGGACAGGAGGGGGTGAAAAAAATCTGTGTCCTAACCGAGGCTCGAACCCGGACTTTCCGCTCCTGAGACGAGCGCACTAAATGCTCCGCCACCGCACCCTTCGGGTTATAAGTAAAGACAAAAATATAACTATACTCTTCCAAGTATATAGGTAATCACGTCTGGACAGGTTGTGACTATTATTAGCTGAGACTCAAAAAAAGCTATTTGGAGAGAGAGAGAGAGAGAGAGAGAGAGAGAGAGAGAGAGAGAGAGAGAAAGAGAGAGAGAGAGAAAGAGAGAGAGAGAGAGAGAGAGAGAGAGAGGGAGAGAGAGAGAGAGAGAGAGAGAGAGAGAGAGAGAGAGAGAGATCGAGAGAGAGAAAGAGAGAGAGAGAGAAAGAGAGAGAGAGAGGGGAGGGGGGGGGGAATAATATCATCTGAGAAAGACAAAAAAGTAATTGGAGGAGAAGCATTGAGAAGAATTTCGAACAAACCAAAATGTAAGTATTTCGAAACATTATTACCAGGAAACGGTCTTGGTTTGAAACCAATCTGAAGTCTTTCTAAAAACCTTTTTAACGCCCCCCCCCCCAGACTTTTTAAAATAAACCGGGGTCCCCCTTGAGGATTTTGAAAAATCCCTAGATTTCATGAAAAGCTTCACTATTTTCGTTAAATGAGGTAAAAATCACTTGATTCATTTAAAAAACCTGCCCCCCCCCCCCCCCCCCCCCCCAAGAAAACCTATCATTTTGTTAAACAAAAAATTCTCAAAGCCCAATTTAAATCACTAGCTCTGGCAGCCATGGGATAAATAGCACCAAAGAGTCTACATAATCTTTGATAACACCAAAGATAGTGAATAACAAGATGGGCCACTCAGCCAAAAAAGTGTCCGCAGGAAGTATGCTCTTTGCTTCAGATGGCGCTGCAGTCTGTTTTGAAGCTCTCTTTCGTTTTTCCAGAAGAAGAATAGGAATAGCACCTCCTTGCGTGCGCAGATCGACTGCTGTTCATCAGCAGTTCGGGTACGTTCAGTGCGGAGTTTTAGTTTTTTTATTTTAATGACCTCTCTCCTTTCATTCTAAAGTCAAATTAAACGAAGAAAACCATCACCCTTTCCTCTGGTAGAGTTTTTTTGTCAGCGTAACCATTTTAAAAAAGCGTTCTTCCGAAATTTATCCCAAAACTTGCTAGTTTCACTTTGATTTTTTAAAACTCAAGTAGGGTAACTCTGTTCGCAAAGAGTGCGCTTTTGTGAAGAGGGCGCCACCAAATTTTGAGGACACTTTTTTAATTGGCTCAAAGAGAGAAGTGGCCCATCTTGTTATGTACTATCATTGATAACACACAGGTATCGATGTTTAGAGTAGGTATCGATACCGAAATATCCATAAGTATCTAAATATCAATACCTAGAATCGATACCTGCCCATCATTACTCGACAATCGACAGTTTGAGTTGGTGTGAAATGAAAACGAAAGTAAAACGACACTTTTCAAAGTATAAAGTTGGCTATCATTTTAAATAGTGTAAGTACCATGCTAGGGTAAGATTCCATGCTATTTTGTACGCATGGGAGGTCTTCATTTGTTTTATGAACTCTTTATTTTTTAAATTGATTTTCGTTTCCTCCAAGATGAAGGCTGTCTTTGAAAGAAAAGCTCAGAGTCTAGAAATCTACTCTTTGTACTTTAGATTAGACTTTAGACTTTTCTATTATTTTTGCGCTTTTTCATTCACATTGTTCGCAGTCACTTCACAGCAGATCTAGATCTAGATCTAGATCTAGATCTAGTCATGAGTGACAGTAGTTGTTAACTTACTTGTTCTAGATCTAGATCAACTGACGACAGTCCACTATATCGCCTTGCCTTGTCAAAGCCTTCTAAGGGGGCTCTCGTGGCCTAGAGGTTTAAAGGCAGGGGTTTACATCTCATTTGAAGGTCCCGAGTTCGAATCCGGGTAGCGATTGAACAATTTTTCCTTTCACCTCCTTTCCTGCTCAGTAGCAAGCAGCAATGTTTTGTCTTCTGCTTTCGTCTACACTTTTTGCCCCCACCCCCTCACCTCCTTTGCCCCCTCCTCCGGTCTCCTGACTCTTTCTAGTCTTTTTACTGCTATTCCTTGGGGCCTTCTTACTGAGCCTGCTGTCTTTCAGCCGCACCCCTGATCTTCTGGTCGGAAAGATTTTACACCTAGCCTTCTCGGGCATGGGCGAAAAATGTTGGAGGTCTCCTGTGCAAGTTGTGCATGATGTTAAAGATCTCTTGGGCTTCGGCTGCCACCCCCTGTGTATGATGTACCTTATGAAGTTGCGAGTGCCGTAGAACACTTACAAAAAGAAATGAAAGAAGCCTTCTTATTATTTATGTCGTCGTACATTAGATCTAGGATAATATTTAAATTTACAATGTTTAAATAATTTCACATTATGTAGTACCCTTAAAAATTGTAGTTATCCTGCTAGGGCGGTTCGCCAACTGGGCAAGACCAGCAGGGCAGGGGCGGTTTATCAATTGTCACTTTTTGTATCAGCTGGACGACAGTTGAAGAGATTTATGGCTGATTAATTTTAGTTTTCATTCTGTTTCCAGAAAATTTAAACTTTAATGATTTATTGTCAACATTCACAAAGAAGTACCTTTGTCGATTTGAAGGCCCTCAAAAATGAAAAGAGGGGTTCACTGTTGAGCTGTTGCTCTTCAATCTCTTTCCTTCGTCTCTGCATCATCAACGATGGCTTTCTACTTTATTGTCACCGCCTCCTGTCTCCATAATGATAAACAACTTCGTGCAAACGGCGCGTACATAGCCAGCGATTTCACAAATTGCCCACAGGGCGCAAAGAGGAGAAGCCTCTATTTGCTAGTGTGGCTTGTCAGTTGCTTACTTTATATTGAAGACTAAGACTGTCTTGAACAGTTAGTACACATAAATTTAATACCGGTACATTCAATTAGATAAAGTATTCCATGGTACAGGAATATTGTCAGTAAAACTGTCTCTAGTCATGTCAGACGTTTATTGTCCACATGGGTCTTAATTTGTATTTCCTGCTAGTTTTTAATCACCCATCTGCTAAAACCTGATCTAGCCAAAACCCTAGTCTGGTGATTTCAGTAGTAATTGGCCAGTCATGTTACGAGGAGGAAATTTTACCAAGGGTAAGAGTGCCAAACTAGGGAGAGGCACTCGGCTAATTTAATGGAGTCTGGGCCACTGAAACAATACTTCTCCCCCTCCACTCATTCCACATTTCACTAACCTTGGCCAGGCACCTAGTTCTATAATAAGCATTTGATACTGTTCCCCACTTAATACACTGCACAGTCTTCTGATGAGCAACTGGAGACTAGAGAGTTTGATAATGGAATTCTGTGCTAAATCCTGTGCGTGTGCATTAAGTACATGAAAATTGTTTCTTCAGACTATAGATCGTTTTTATCTCTTTACTTTAACATTATGTAGAAATACGAAGATTGTCAGAGCTCAATCAATGCATTTGGTGTGTTTGTGTGTATGTGTGTGTTGGGAGGGATAGCGAAGATGAAGGTATAAAAAATGAATGTGTCTGTGTGTGTACGGGGGTGGGGTGGAGGTGGGGGTAAAGGGGAGGAGACATGGAGAGGATGTTGATGTGAATGACAGCCTGTCAGTTCTAAAACTACAAGCTGCCCCTAAGTAGCAGACAGTACTGAACTGTCGCTATCTGTGACCACTGTAGTCTAATATCTAATTCACTCTGTCTCTGGTCACTGTTCCCATAATCCACGAGGATCATAGGGGCACTGTTTGTATGACAGAGAGCCTTTTCAGGTGTCTCCACTTTTCACGTTTTTTATGCGAGGGCCTACGTTTGGACGAAGGGTTTCCCTGTCCATTCCGCTATGTTTTCGGTCCACCTCTTCCATTTCCTTCCTCTCTTTCTCCTCCTCTGCACAGGTCCCTGAAGAATGGTTTTTTATAGGCCACACAAAAATCTTGTTACATGGCCATACCATTACAGTTACAGTTATCTTCGCTTCACAGTATACAGCAAGTCAAAATAATGGCTCATGTGTTGTTTTACTCTACTGCGCACTTCATCATTTGTGACGTGGTCAGTGTATGAAATGCCAAAGAGTCGTCTAAAGCATCTCATTTGGGGTGCTTGGGTCTTCCTCTGAAGCCTTTCCGTCAAGGTCCCTGATTCACAAGCATGTAGAAGGATGGAGATAACGAGGGCATAGAGTAGGCTAGTCTGAGTTTGGAATTGACTGAGATGTTTCTATCTGTCCATATTGGTCTTATTTTTATAAAAATCCCTGTTGTTTTTGCAATTGTTGCATGAGCTTCTGGCTTGGATCCTTCTTGTCTGATGATTGCACTGGTTGACTGTTTCAAGCTGTTGACCACTGACTGTAATTTTGGTTCTCATAGGTTCATCACTCTTTCTCATCATCCTTGTTTTCTTGGCAGTAATTTCCATGTCATATCTGGTTGATGTTTCATCCAGTTGTTTCACCAGTCTGGTGAGTTCTTCTTTATTTCCTGCCTGTCCGTCAATATCATTGGCAAACCTGAGGTTGGTGATTGTTCGTCCACCGATGCTGACTGTGCTTGTGTGATTTTCGAAGGCATCTTGATGTATACCAACGGTAGTGTGGAACCATTCTCATATTTTCCCTTGGGCGAGGACTGCACTGTGGCTTTGTTGTATAGCTGTCAGATCGACTCTATCAACTTTTTGCCGATGTTGTAGTTCTTCATTGTTGCCCATAGTGCATCGCGCCAGTTGCCCATAATGCATCATGCCACAGGTGATCGAAGTCCTTTTTGAAATCAAAGAACACGGAAGATGTCTTGCTGGTGTTCGCTGTATTTCTCACCCAGAACTCTGAGACTGAATATTTGTTTAGTTGTACTTCTTCCATACCTGAACCCGGCTTGCTCTTCGTCAATTATTTCTTCTGCCTGTGGTTTCAATCGGTTCAGTATAACTTTCAGCATCACTTTGCTTGTATGGCTTATCAGGCTAATAGTTCGATAAAATGGCAGATTGCCTTCTTGGGGAGAGTGATGATAAGAGATTGCATCCAGGGTGTGGGCCATTCACCCATCTTAAAGATTTTATTGCATAAGCTATTAGAATGGCCAAAAAGGGGGAGATGTTCATTTAAGGTGGCAATGGGTGTTTATTACAAGATTCGCACGTTATTTTATGGACATCTCTATTTTTAAGTAAGGCCTATGTCTGTGGGTGATTTTGACTGCAACGATGTTCCCACGCTTTTGAAGGGAAACAATGATTATTTAATTATATAGATACTTCGCCTCTAGTGTTGCCTTACACTTTTTCTTTTCAATCCAGTGATTATAGACCTTTTCGCCTCTCTTGGTATATTTTTAAACTGATTTTCAAATTTCAGACAGTATTGTTATCAACTCTGCTGTCTCTATCACATGAACAAATAGAATAATAATAAGAATAATAATTTTTTAAAGGATTATCTAGCTTCTACTACTTTTAGAGATGAAGAAAAGATATGTAGACAGAGGGAATACATTTTAGTCTTAAAGGTCTCAGATTAGTGTTTTCAAATACTTCACATTTTATGGCATTTTTCATATTTGTGATGGATTTCAGTACCAATGATGTAATGTTTAGCTTAAGTATGAAAGGAATTAACATTTACTCATCCACAGTTGAATTCGTCTTTTTATTACAAGTCATTCATGTCTGGAGATGCTTCCTCCAGTGGTGCCCCTAGGTTCTGGAAACCAGGTATGATATTTTGTTTATGCCTTTCTTTTTTCTGTTTCCAATACTTCTTCTAAGTTTGGCATAAAATTTGCCTTTTTTTTGTTACATTCTAACAGATCTTGGCAATACATTTTTGTGAACTGTGAATGGTTTCTTATTGATTTCATGTCTGGTGACACTATTCCAGGTTGTTGTGAGTTTACCTAGCCTTATTTTCAATGTGACTGTGAAGTCTACAGAAATGCCCTTTTGGTGTGTATTTTCAGAAAGAGTTAGTATAAAGACCGAGGTAGGAAGGTACAGTCGAACCTGCTCTTATGGCCACCTGTACAAACAACCACTTTCCATTCTCTCCCTTGCATATTTTTTACATTATAATGACCGTTTGTAAGACAGCCACCTTTCTTATAACGGCCACTTTTTTCTTTGACAATGAGTGGCTATATATTGTTTCAACTGTTTTTTATTCAGTGTTTAAGACTACTGACCAAAATCGCTTAAAGCATACACATTTTATAGAAGAGACTTTTGTGAAATAGCATACATCATAAATGACACAGATATCAGTAAGATTTAATACAGACCAAGGCTATGCATTGAAATGTTTGACAGTGGTAAATAATCTGTTGATAGGTCAGAAGCAAAGATATAGCTTGATTGACATTATTGTCCTCCCTCCTCCTTAGTTGTAAGTTTGCCCATAAGTTTTGTGTTTGATATTTTGCTTTTACTTATTTTTAAAAATATTTTTTTTGGGCTGCTTTTTGGTCTATGCCTCTTATTATTTTAGACTCGATTCTCTTGTCCATCTTGAAATTTCACTGCCCCAGTTACTTTTTCAGTCCCTATTTAATGCTGGTGCACAGTGTTGTATTCTCGCCAAATGCCAAATGGAATTATGTTGACATTCTTTTTACCTCTTTCCTTTGAAAGCACAATATAGTCTTGGTTGTTGCTCTTGAGAAAAAAAACCCACATTCTTTTTATTTGATCTCATGATTTCCCTTGCCTGTAGAATGGGGCGTGTTTAGTCTGTGTGTAGGTTAACCTGTATGTTACCAATTCTCCTCTTAATCTCTAAAGGCACAGCTGGGCCAGGGCTGACCAAGATATCAGAGGAGAGGACAACATCATCCGATCAGAGTGGTATTGGAAACGCAAGTGTAGCATACAATCCGCACAGAAATTTGTCAATAGAGCAACAGAGACAGAAACTTCCTGTGTTTCAGGTGAGGATAGAAAACAAAGAAATGATTACTTTGTGAGTCAAATGCACTGGTGCCAAAGTGTCTTTCTCTTAATGTTCTCTCAAATGTTCATGCACAGTCGACTTTTGTGAAGAATAATTTTTCATGCATCCCCACCCCTAAAGGGAACACTTTTGCAGAGGTTTTGGTTACAGAAGGTCAGCATGATAGGAATATGTGTGAGAAAGATTGAGGGTTCTTTTGAGAAGACGTAACCTGATGCTAAAAGGTGTGTGGTGTTGAGATAAGCTGTCTTATCGAAGAGGTGAGTTTTTTAACACCACAGGTGCACACTAGAAATATGTAATTATTTTAGTAAATGATGATCGTTTTTGGGAATAAATATGGATCGCCTTTGTCTCTCCAATTCTGAAGTCCAGTATTCCTGGTCTTGTTGTTTTTCTTTCAGTACCGGAACCATATATTGTACTTAGCTGAGAAATATCAGACCGTTGTTATCATTGGTGAGACTGGATGTGGCAAAAGTACTCAGATTCCACAGGTGAGTAACCTGGAAGAAATTCTTCCATAATTTTGTGTTTTGAAATTGAGTTTTGGTTCTTGGTCATGTTGTTATCAATCCAGTGGTTCTTGGTCATTAACAGTGACAATAGTGCAGCTTGGATGAGTTCCATATAAAATGTTTGATTGAACTATGGTAAAGATATATCACAACAACTTGTTTGTTTTATATAAAAAGGAGCTTTCTGATCTGTCTCTTGTTCTTCAACCTGGCTGAAGTAGGGAAGTTTGCTTGAATCATTCACATTGCAGAGAGGGTATTTTCAGAGAAAAAATAAAATGTTTAAGGTAAAGGTTACAGATAGATAGAATGTTTTCTGTTAAGGAGTATCTTGTATACTCATTGTGACTCCACAGTTAATTTTGCGATAATCCTGGTTTTATTTGTACGTTTTTATGTGACCCTGTATTTGTTTCTCCTCTCAGATTGTTGACATATTTCTTCTTTCAACTTGGCCCAGTCCTAATATTTGTGTCAAGACGTGGTGAAATCAGGCGCTAGTCAATTTTTAGGCATATGTGGAGTTATTGGTAATATCTTAAAGCTCATACCTTTGTCTATCTTTTGATAAAAAAAAAACAACAGATGTGGCCATCTTGAATAGAATTAAAGATATTTGTGTTTGAAGGAAGTGGGGGGTCGCTTGGTTTCAGAGGTACTTTAGCGAGAAAATGATCACCAAAGTTTGGTGACTTTCATAGCTTAAGAATTCTTGGAAACTGAAAATTTACATCTTTAGTGACTTTAGTTGCTGTTTTTCAGTAAAATCAACACATAAATGTTTTTTTCTAATGGACATAAAAGGTGTTGAGCTAAAAAAAAAAATTCGACAAAAATGGCCAAACTGGCAGAAAAATGCAAATATTTTTTATTTCATTATTTTGACGAGGGTCTGATATCACCACGATGCCTCACATTTCTGTACTTGCCCCACTTAAGGCACGACTGAGTTCTTTTTTCTGTTTCAGTATCTCCTTGAAGCTGGATGGGGAAATGAAGGACATGTCATTGGAGTCACACAGCCCCGGAGAGTTGCTGCTGTTACTGTGAGAGATAGTAGTTCTTGTTGTGTGGAGGATTAAAAAATCAAACAAATTTAAGTACTTGCATTGAAATAAATAAGTGCAGTGTCTGTTGCTGTTTATGAAAGAATTTGATTTGATATTTAATCAAGTGCTGACAATTTCTTCTGTCCTTCAGTATCCCTTGGAAATCAGCATAATACAACTCATTGTTTTGAAGCAGAAAATGTTATAATTACTTGTCTTCTCCATTTTCCCTTTTTTACACCCTTTTGTTTTTAACAGACCTCCGTCATCTTCTCTTTGAGAGTCTTATATGTTTTTGTTCTTGCTGCTTTTTTGTTTTTTCCTTTAACACAAACTCAACCACTTGAGAATATTGTAAGTTATCAGTGTTGCGCTCAATTATTATTAAAGCTGGTGAACGGATGATATTGTTGAAGATACTGACTTTAAGATCTTTTTGAAAAATTGATGCTGCCTGATCCAGTCACCCATTTTGGGGTTTTTCATTTGAAGGGGCTACACATTTTGGTTGTCATAGCTAGAAGGTCACAGAGCTTTTCCTCCGTGAGAAGTTTGAAAGATTTTTGCTCTAGCTTTAGAAATACTTCTATGTGTCACATCACATTTGTTCATAAACAGTATGAAAAAAAATAATGATGTTTTTTATTAGTATCGTACCAATAATTCTGATAACATTTTGGACCTTTGAAAATGCACCTGGAGATAAAGGATTCATTAATTTATGTACATCATACTGGAATGAAATGGGATATTTTTATTCCTTCTGAAAACTGTTGTTACAATAAAAGGACTGGTTAGTATGCCTCTATCTATGTCACAGGTTGCCACTCGCATCGCTGAGGAGAGGGGAGCCATTCTGGGGGATGAAGTGGGATATCTGATCCGTTTTGATAATTGCTGTGATGAGGAAAGAACAAAAATCAAGGTAAATCAACATTGCCTTTCCATTTGTGATGTGGATTCACTTTTGTTTGTTGAATAGTTCTTAAAAATAATACTAAAGTGTCTGAATGCATGTTAGTAGGCCTACTAATTTTTCAGATTGTCATAGAATGTTTTTTTTTCCAAAACTTCGTTTTGACTTTTCTTTAGAGTTTGTGGTTAAAATTAATGTGGACCTTCCCCCAATTCTGAAATGCCTATTTTTTAGCACGGTGTCATGGCGACCTAAATGTTCCCCTACAGAGTGGAGAGACCCGGAAAGTTTGTACCTTCAGAAATTTCTGAATTGGGGGCATAAGTTCACTTTGGCCTATTTAACAATGACAATGACAATCTTTATTCATCTCGCAGGGAGAAATTTGTCTTGGTCGTTAACAATGGCAGTAGACGTTACAAAAGT